GGGGGGTGTGTGTCTCGTATACAACGGGCAAAAGATGTCGAAATAATTATGCAAATTCTTGGACCGCCCAGCGGAGACACGAACCAACAGCCGTGACACCTTCGGTGGGGACAGCAGTGCAAACGACGAATGCCATTTGCTGGCTACGTGCGAAAGGAGGAAGTCGTGACACAGCCAGGTGGACCTCCGAATCTCTCTCTCTCTCTCTGTGCACTCTGGTCACCCAGTCGCCCGGCGACACAGACGTAAGCGCATTTTAATGATCTCATTTATGCTAATCTCCAAGCGGTGTGTACACGCACACACACACACACACACACACACACACACACACACACACACACACACACACACACACACACACACACACACACAGAGACAAAGAGCGGCACAACACCACAAGAGGGGAGAGGGATAGAGAGGAGGAGCTGTGGTTGCCCCAACCTGAGGAAGAACTAACTGCCACCTTCTGCTAATGCTAATGAAGTCTAATTGAATTTCGGACACTTGACACGTCCCACAATCTCTGATCTCCTTGTTGACACTGCGGCACGGGGTGCCAGGTGCCAGGTGCCAGGTGCCATCGGGACTCCACACACACCACAAAACGAAATCTTTGTCAGCAAAGGAATTTGGCGGTAACAAATGTGCGAATCCAGATGCACGACTTGATATCTGGTCAAAATTCTCAACTATTATATCGACTCTCCTCCAGTTGTGTTTATTAAACGTCCCCATTTATTATTAAAGTCTTCTTCCCCCCATGACGAGTGCTCTGAGACCATCTCGGGATTTGTGTTCTGCTCCTCCAGCTGTCCAGCTGCTGCTTCAGTGTGGAGTCAACATTTGCGTTTTTGCGGTTGTGGCTGGCACACAATTTCCTATGCATTCGACCGCATTCCAAATTTTCTCGTAATATTTGATTTGATTTTTAAACAAAAAGGCTGCACACTCGCTTAGCTAGAGAAACGGACAGGGAGGAGGTGGACAGTGTCCGGCACGGGGAGGATTGCTGGTCAGGAGGAGGCTGTCATGTTGTCTGACGAGGGGTAGGTTGGCAGGGGAAGGGGAGCAGCAGGACGATAACGGTTCGGCTTTTATTAGCATCCCAGCGGCAGCAACAGCACTGCACTCCCTCCCACTTTGAAACACAAATCAGAATTATTTGACAACCCAGCTAATTTACATGAGTGTCCCCACAGGGGCATACCGACATGCACATGTAGTACCAGAGTGGGTACCAGCAGCAGGCGACAGATACGCTACACTCCTATCTGGACACGTCGCTTCGAAGCCCCCAAACATATCATCGTCAACGTCAGCAATGGGCATCGAAACTGAACTGAACCTGCGGCTTCTCTCTGCGGCGAGACTGTGGCCAGGTCATGGCACTGCTGCTCACACTGAAACTGGAATGAGCTGGACATACCCTCTACTCTCCCCTCTCATTCTTACTCTTTCTCGATTCATTGCGAAATCGTTGGACAACATTTCAAGTCAGTGGGACAACAAAAAAAACTTTTTTTAACCACTTGCGACTTGCATTCAATTTTATTTAATTACTTTCGACGTAAATTTCGAAACTTTATCACCAACAACGAGGCAGAGAAGTGCAAATGTGGCGGGAGAGAGGAGCAAAGAGAGAGCTGAGAGAAGTTAAAGCGACTAAAAGTTTCACTAACACGACACTGACCGGTGGAAGAGATGAACCACGTGGTGGTAAGCCAAAGAAAGGTAAGCAAAGGGTTACTCAAGTGGGAACACCCTGGAGTGGGAACAGTGGAGAGCGAACATCAAAGAGAGCCAGAGATCTGAGCTCTTCTACTAAAGCTTTTACTAAAATGTTTATACAGATCGCAGGTGTTTGGGAATCGTTTTTAGTATTTCTGGTTACCATTAATGATTCGACTTGATAAGCAACAACTTTCTACTTATTGAATAATTGTGTGTTTCAACAGCTTGTAAATAAGTTGAATGGAATTTTGATAGTACAACAATGGAGTGATTACACTGCTTTCAGACTCATTTTCATAGTATTAGTATGATAATGATACATTTTTGGTACATAATTATATAATTGAAGTAAACTGAAACGCCACTTACCATGGATAACTGTTGTTTATTATTTAGCTGTAAAGTGTAAAACTGTATTCGCTTCATTCGCACAGCTTCCAGCTTCACGCATCTCAATCAAAGCAAAACTACCATGCGATCTTATCAAAAAATCGCAAGGGAGAGTGTAAGCTGAGCGCCATCAACCACCAGACACTCTCTCCCTTGTTGCAGTTTTTGTCACTACGTCACACTCTCTTTAGATAATTCGAAACGAAAGCGAAAACAAAAACAAAAGCATAATCAGCATCTTTCTCCCTTCACACAGCTTGGAAAGCAGAAGCGCGATATCGCGAAACGAACGAATGAACACCAACACGATCCGGCGAAAGCGTAACAAAGGAAAACACTCACTTTAGACACGCGATAATAGAATCGTATTACAAGCGGCCTATGTACATACATAGGTACATTTGTATGTATGAACATATTTGAGATATGGAATCCAGCAACATATTCGTGTATATGCAAATATAGTGCCCGGTAGATAGTGCACGGCGATAACAGGGCTGATTCCTATCTAAACTGTAACAGGTGCCCAGCAGACTGGAGCAGGCTGGAGCCGTTGGGCCCCGAGATAAAACTGATTGATAAGGGGGTGTACGAGTATGTGGGGGGTGTGGGTGGATGGGAGGAGAACGCTGGCGAGAACACACAAAGCTCGAAGAGAGCTTGGGGGGCAGGAAAGCTTCGGTTTTTTGTCATCTCGTTTTGTGATTATTACTGTTTCTCTCTCCCTCTCTCTGTCTCTGTCTCTCTCCCTGTGTGTGTGTGTGCGTGCGTACCGTACCGTGCCGTTTGGGGCTCGAGTTTCAATTTATTCAATTTACCGTTACAGTTGCAATTGATGACGACGCCGACGAGCACAACAGCAGCAGCAGCAACAGCAGCGACAACAGAGGAGGAGCTTTGGAGCAGTCGCGCCACCTCAGTCGCTTCATCCTGGCTGCACGACGAGCTCGTAAGTGTTGCGGCTGCTCTCAGTTGTGACTTAACCGCCGGCCGGCGATCATCTCTTTTCATTGTGCTCTCTCTCTCTCTATCCAACATCCAACACCCACACCACACCCTCCCCGCGTGATGAGTGCTTGTGCTTTACTCTCCTGTTACCGTTACTGTTATTGTTACTGTTATTGTTTCTGTGACTGTTGTATGTGATACTATCCCTGTGCACGTCTGTCATGTATCGCAATAATGCGGACAGCTCTTTCTGTTTTATCAATCGCCTCAATGGGAATGCCAACGATGACCTGCAGCAGCCGGGGGAACATGAGCCGACCTCCGCCCTGCTGGACTACTGCAAGCGAAAGGTGATACCAGCAACCGTGTCATCGATCGTTTGATAATCTTTCAATCTGCAAACAGTTTCTGCGTCCCTATGTCACGATCTTGACGCTGGTCGGCCTCAATCCCATCTCGACGGACATGAGCAATGTGAGGGCCTGCTGCAGCTATGTCCAGGCTCTGATGGTGCTCTTTATCCTCCTGGTGGGCTATGTACTACGCTACATCTGTGGCTACAGGTGAGTGGAATGTTATACGAAAGCGTGCTCAAGTTAATCTTGCTGCTTCCAGAGGCGATCGTGGCTTCACCAGCTACAGGGATATACGACCCATTAGCAACAGCACGGATGGCGGCATCGCCACACCAAACACCATCGGCGAGCTGCTCTTTGGTTATGTGGTGCCGAGTGCCTTCAACCTGATGGCTTTTGTGGCTGCTGTGCTGGTGTGCAAAGTGATTGACCACGAGCAGCTGCAGAACCTCATCGAAAGGGTGTTCCTGATGTCCGCCAAGCCCAAGCGACTGTGTCGGATGCTCTGGCTGTTCTTGGGATTGGCCCTGGCTCTTCTGGCGCTCCTCTTCGCCTACGCTTGCGCTGTGGTGGTCATGCAACCGGCTCAGATCATCAAGGTGGCCTGGCTAGCGGAGCCTCTGAGCGACTGGGAGCTGTGCCTCCGCACCGGATTGCTGTGCACCATACTACTGCAGGACCTGGTGGAGATAGTTATATTGAGTAACTACTACATCGAGTGCTACTTGCTGAAGGTTCACTTGGAGTCGCTGTCGCACAAACTACTGATGCACTCCATCGATTCGCTGGACTGGATGCGGGAGGTGCTGGAGTTCCGCAAGCTCCTGGATCGTCTCAACCAGCACGTGTCTGTGCCCGTGTGCTTTCTGATTGTGATGAATCTGTCGTATGCCTTCGCCGGCATGGTCTATCTGTTCAAGGACTTTGATTTCCACTTCTGCGCCTTGCAGCTGGTGCTGCTGAACATCGCCAATGTTATGCTGTGGCTGTTCCTCGGCCTGCTGCCCTTTTTTGTGGCGTCCTCGGTGACGCGTGTCTGCCAGAGCGCCCAGGCCAATGGCCACCAGATCCGCGTGCGTCCATTTGTATACCACAATACCTCCGCGGAAGATCTCAACTCGACCCTGCTCTTTGCCTCGTCTTTGGACATGTCCGCCAAGCTCTTCCGCATGCCCATCCAACCGAACTACCTGTGCTTTGCTATCCTCGTTGTCGTTCTAGTGATACTCACACTTGGCATGTGCCTGAATCTCACGGCCCTGGGCAAGATCTAATCTCCTTAGAGTACATACATACAAATATGTGCATCTGCATACATTTAATAAAGATTTATGGTATTTGTCTAGCTTAAAACTTTCCGACTTGTCTGCCTCGCGGCAATTTATTTACAATTTACGATTTGGTTCTGCCTCCAGTCACGATTTAGCTACTTATGGTTAAACTATAAGCTTAGTCTCATTTAGTTTAGTTACTATCGCTGCTTCAGTACTGACTAAGTATGCACTTTGGTTTTACATCGGGTGTGTTTTGTGTTGTGTGTGTGTGCCTCTGCCGGGTTGCTCCCAGTGTCATTCAGGGTCCAGGTCTAGTCACCATCCCAGCCACGGCGGGTGATTGATTTTCGATGGCGGGATGAAGGTTAGATTTACTGGTATATTTATGAGGGCATGAACTCGCTTCAGGCGCTGCAGAGTGGACCGTATGATCACGCCGTTCTTCCCCAGCAGGAAGCCCGCAGGTATTGAAGCATCTCGATTGGTGTTGTCGTGGATCATCTCGATGTAGTGCTCAAATTCCGGTGAATTCGGATTGTACTCGGTGATGATGGCGCCCACAGCCCCGGCCATCTCCGCTTGAAGGGTCTTGGCGAGGAAGGAGCATTCCCTGCAATTGCCACGCACATGGAATTCTGTTAGATAAAACTGTAATCAAATCTTATCAATTCCATCCGCTTACCCCCTGTCCATGAGAGCGATACTTCCATGAAGATCACGTGTATTGCGCAGCTTCTGGCAGGCGTCTGGGGGATCAGTCAGCACCAGGGGGACGCCTTCGTGCTTCTCCGAGAAGGTGATGCCGAAATCCTTGGCCGGCCGCAGTCTGTAGGTGTATTCCAGGTCTTGCGGCGATATGATTTCAAAAAACACGTCACCCGCAATTATGTCCTGCGTGGTGATGGGAATCGATATCGTGGTGGTGGCTCGGATGCATCGGCTCAAGGTGGAGGCAATCACTAACCAAACAATCAACATTTTGGACACAGACGCATAACTAACATATAAGTTTGTTGCAAAAACAAACTACTAATTTTCATTGCACTAAAAAACTATCGATTGCCCCGCAGCCGAGCCGATGTATAAGTATCGTTAGCCGGCTGCGATTTTGACAACTGTCAAAAGAAGTATCGAGTATTTTCACAGCCGATACTGCACTACTTTATGTACTCGATATTAGTGGGTCGACTAACACAAATATGAGTGCACGGTGCTAAGCGGCAACGGGCTGTAAGTATATATACTAAATTGTTATCTAATATTGTTTGTTTTTTTTGTATTTTTAATGCAAGCCTGTTGACGTGCCCTTAATGCAACAATCGATACGCTACTGTCATCTCAATGACTTGGATTGTGCACATTGGGCTAAAAGCAACAATTCGCAAGGTTAAACTGGGTCATTAGGAAAGTTGGTCGAAAATCTTCGAGTCCAAAGGTCACAAATTTTTGAAATTGTATATTTGAAAAATCCAAGTTACATTTGACGCAAACGTAACTGGCCGTTTCAACCACAGGCCTCAATATTTCTTCAGTTTTCGATTTCATCCCGAAGTGAGAGCATCTCGAACCAGTGTTTTCAGAGCCAACCGCGTGGAGTTTCAGTGTTGCAATTTTCGCATGTCAAAGCAACTCTGATTGGTTTTTTTTTTTCATACTCGATACTTGCCGTCGATGCCATTGTACTAGTTCTGTGGTAGCCATTTTAATTTTTGGCGTCGAAAATACGGCGAGGAAATTGGCCCGGACCCTGTGGTTTTTCGCATTTAACGCAAGCAGTTTGTAGTCCTCGAGCAGGCAACGTGTGTGTCAAAGACCAGAAGTGTTTAACTTGTACAAATAACCAAGTTCCAATCCAGTAAAATGTCGATGTCTGCCACGTGCTACAAGTGTAACCGGCCGGGCCACTTTGCCCGGGACTGCAGTCTCGGTGGCGGTGGGCCAGGAGGCGGCGGACCAGGTGGTGGTATGCGTGGCGGTGATGGCGGCGGTATGCGCCGCAACCGCGAGAAGTGCTATAAATGCAACCAATTTGGGCACTTTGCACGTGCCTGCCCTGAGGAGGCTGAACGCTGCTACCGCTGCAACGGCATTGGCCACATCTCGAAGGACTGCACCCAGGCCGACAACCCGACCTGCTACCGGTGCAACAAGACTGGCCACTGGGTGCGCAACTGCCCCGAAGCCGTTAACGAGCGCGGCCCGGCCAATGTGTCGTGCTACAAGTGCAACCGCACTGGACACATCTCCAAGAACTGCCCGGAGACCTCGAAGACTTGCTATGGCTGCGGCAAGAGTGGACATCTGAGACGCGAGTGCGATGAGAAGGGCGGACGGAACTAGGAGAAGACCCAGTACCGCGCTTCAACTTGAAAATCATCGAAGAAGAAGAAGAAAATTTAAACACGAAAAAAAATTACAAAAATGAAAAATCAATTTGCTACAACATTCACAAAGCCAGCCAACAACAACAAGCGACAGCAGCACCCAAGTCAAGATCAACCCCCAACCAACACTACCACCACCCCAAAAACACATCTACACATACTCCCATCACACACAAATACACTCACACCTACAGATATAGGAGGCACCTCAATCTAACCATCATCTATCCAAGAATCAACCAACAACAATCTTGCATCTCTGATTCCAAAAGCTGAGCCTGCAGCGCGGTGCCAACGTTCCAAAATATGAAGAAGAAACTTTTGAGAAAGTAGAAGAAGAACCCAGCCGAAGACAAATGTACGAAAACGAGGAGCTGAAGCAGAAGAGGATCCGATCGAGAAAAGGAAGGAAGGAGAGCACAGGAGACGCGGGGTGAGAGACGGCGGAGACGACGATAGCAACGGCAGCTGTGCAGCCAAGCAGACGATGATGATGAAGCTGAAGAAGAAGAAGACGACGACGTCGATGCGACCCAATTTGTAAGATGAGACTAAACCCCAAACAAGAAAAAACAACAACCAACCACTTTATTATAATTATGTATGATTATGCTGCGAAAAAGTGTTTGAATTTACTAATTACATTATAACGAATGGAATGAAAACTATATAAGAATATATAAATACCTTAAAAATACTATAAAGCGATCCTATTAGGAGTTCCACACCAGAAGAAAAAAATAAATAAAAAGTATAAAAAACAAAAGCAAAGAAGCAAGCGAAGAGGCCGCGTTACTACTCCATCCAGCTGCTGCCGGCGAGCCGTAGGAATTATTATACACATGATGATGAAGATATTGTAGTGTATACCCAAACAGTCTGCCTACCAACCTACCTATACCACCACCATCTCCACAAACATCAGCACCCATCACCATCCACACCACCACCAGAGAAGAGAATCACCAAAACCAATCCCCAAGCAAGACGAAACTCGCCCGGCAAGATCTCGAGCGGGGTACAAGCGGAGCAAGCTAAGCCGGAGGGGCAGCAAACAAGAACAGAAGACAGAAGAGGAGGAGCACATCAGCGATGGTAGAAAGAGACACTGGAGGAGATCGACAACGAACAGATGAGAAGAATACAGTACAGAGAGCCCCAGTTGTAAGAAACTTTCAGTTGTAACGAGACACCTACGAGAGATGCGAAACCTACGATGAAGAAAATGAAAATTCAAATATCACTGTGATTGTTTTTTAATTGTAAATTAAAATGCTGGAGCTGCTGATTTGAGACAAAAAAAAATAATCCCATGCCATGTGTCGTCTTTGCTTATTTATTCTTTATCTGTTTTTTTTTCGCGGATCTCTGGGGCCAGGCGGAGGCCGATCGCTCATCATCGGTTCTCTTTTGATCTCTCGTTGCTTTTCTGCTCTTTTCTTTGTTTCGTGGGCAACCAGTTTTCATGTGGTGCCGGTAAAATTGCAGCTGTGAGCGAACACATGGCGCGGGCAGCTGATGGGGCCCCAGTCTGTCCCGATCTCTGAGTCAGCTTTTGGAGTTAGTCTGAGGTGTGCCGGCCCGGCAAAAATCTGCCATTGTCTTCGACTGTGTGTGTGTGTGTTTTTCTGCTTTCTTTGCGCCGTTTCCTTGTGCATTTTATGTACAAGTACACGCACACACACATACTGGCACGCAAGTTGACGTACATACAGACACACATTAAGTGAATATCTCGAACCAAAGTACAGTCGTCGCCGGGTGCTGCTAATGGTGAAAACTCGCAGGCGGCGACACATACATATGCATATGTACGTATAGAGGTGACTGTTGGCTGAAAGAGGGAGAGAGAGAAAGAGAAGGAACAAGCATGATATGCGGCATGGAGAGGGGGGACGATTGCGAAACTTCAACTCCACTCCGCTGTGCCGCGGCCATGCTGCTTGCTGCACTTAGCAACAAGTATCGTGATGTATAATCCGGTCTGGTTGCCCGGGCGACTGTGATTGAGGGTCAAGGTCAGGCTCTCCGCGCATCAGCTGCTGCGCGCATGTGTAAAAGAAGTTTCTTGGTTCCCGGAGTTTCGTTTGGGCACCGAAGCCTCTGCTGGTGTTGTGCTTTGCGTTGCCCAAGCCGGTTTTTGCATGATCTCGTTTTGTGTAGAAGCGCAGGGAAACATCGAGTAAACGCGCCATTTAACCAGGGTTACCCGCCAGGGTCGTGAAGATCAGCCAGAAACAACTCTGTCTTTGTCGGTGTTGTTTGTTGGGTAGGTTTTTGCTTTTTTCTTTTTTAATTTATTTAATTCTCAATCAATTACATTATTAGGAATTTATGCTACAATTTGATAGGTTTCCGCTTCTGCCATCGGTTTAATTTTGTTAGAACATTGGATAGGGTAAGGGGGGCCGGCTGCTAGGACACACACTTGACGCTAAACGAGTCGTGAAATGAACATTGAATATCAACTAGAGCGCACCTGGAAACTCGAATAGAATCACAAACAAAGTACAAACCATGCATATGTATGTATGAATGTATATATAGAGCTATATATCATCGTTATCAGTTACAATTTAAACTAAAACTTGAGGTTCTGTGCGCTTGCACACCATCTGACAATCATCATATGTATCCAACAGCCATATTGAGCAGCAGATGAATACACAGAAAGTACACGGATCTTCCCTTCGGTTGTCCATCTACTTCTCCGACTTGTTTCGCGTCTTGGCCTGGCTAGAAGATGATGTTCCCGTTCCCATCTGAGATTTATCAGTCCTACGGCTGCTGGTCCTGGGCAAGGTGGTGCAGCTAGCAGACATGGATTTGTCCTGCAAAAAGGGAGCAGAGTGATTTTTATCAACTAGATAATGATGGGATTACAATAAACACTCGAAAGAACATGCTGAAAATGCTGAAATCGATGGTTAGTAACGCAAAACTGTACAAAAGGGGAACAGGGGCCATGGAGGTTAAGAGCTGACCGGCCGCCCAGCGATGAACGAGCAAAACGAACACTTGGATGAGCTTGGATTAGAACGAACTCCCCGGCAGGGCTTACTTTAGATCTCCGTCTCTCTGACCGCCAGCGGCTCGTCCGGCATGGGGTCTGCCTGCTGGCTGGGATTAGCTTTGTTACGCAGCACATTAGCTTTGATATTCTGGATCAGTTGGCCGATACCTGACTTGCGCTGTTCCACGCTGCCCGTCGATGTCTGGCTAATGACATCTGGCTGGGGACTCAGCGAGTGGCGCTTGGGTGGCAGCGGAGGTGGAGGAGCTCGGCCCTTGCCATGCACAGCCCTTGGACGCAGCGATGGGGAGGGAGAGGGTGACATCTGCAGCTCTGGCTCCAGTTGGGCTCGAAAGCTGTGCTTGATCTCCTCCAAGGTGTCGCGTAGTTCCCGTGGCGACACTGGCCTAGATCGATCGGATGGTTCTGGATCAACAATTGTGTCTGTCTCTGTGACTGAGGAGCGTATCACAAGCAGAAAAGGATCTATGACGGATGGTAGTTCATTTGTCAGTTTGCTCTCGGTAGGAACATCTGTTTGCAATGTTCCTGTATTGGTTTCAGGGGGAAACAACTGCTCCGTTGGCTCTTCCTTAAAGGCATCATGGGTTCTTCCTTCCAATGGGTATATTTTCTTTGGTTCTTCGCATGACAGAGCTGCCTGTTCTGCAGCTTTCTCTTCTTCATCTGCATCCAGCAATGGCATGGCTTCATAGAAGTCATCCTCATCTGCATCTGGATCTAAATCTATATCCTCTTGCTCCTCGTCCACTTCATGATGTGTAATCCTCTCCATGTGGTCCCAGCTCGCTAATTCTTCTGGCCCTTGCTGGCGCACACCTTGAAAGTAGAGCTGATTTTCCAAATAAACCTCGTCCCTCATCTCCTCCAGCAACTGTTAACCAACACCAGTCTCTAGATGGATTAGGATTGTCAGGGATAAAAAGATACACATTATGCCTACCTCGTTGCGTTTGGACTTGACACGTCCTTTGGAAGCATTTGTCATGGAGGAGGTGCGACTGAGTCCACTAATGGGCTCGGCACTGGAGTAGCCGGAGCTAATGTCATCCTGGCTGCGTATGTTGTAGCTAAAATTGCACCAAAACCCAGGGAGATCAGACTGTCTTTCAGTTGGATTGTGGACTGCAACACTCACTTGAAGTCACCCGCATTCTTGGCGGTCACATCAACCTCGGTGAAGTACATCCCGGTGGAGTGACGCGTGCCGCTGGCGGATCTGCCGACGGGCGTGTGATTGCGTGGTCGCAGGAGACGCGTTGCAGTTGGCTGTGTGCGCATCACCACCGACGAGGACATGGACGATCTCATCACCTCGTCCAGCTCATCCTGGGTGCGATGCATATCTGGCTCACTCAGATCGCTGAGGCTGTAGCTCCGCTTGATCGTCTGCACCAGATTGCCGCCGCCCTTTGATGGGATCACAAAGATATTACAGAGGAGTACAGAGTGTACATTGAGCGCCCAAGCAGTTGGCATTTAAATAATTTAATTAAACTAAAAACTTATCGAAACTTAGTCGTACAAAAATATAGGAATAATCATAGACATGGTAGGAGGCGGAGGAGGAGTCGTAATCATTTACATGTGCGTCGAACGGAAAAAAAACGAAAAGCTTCCAGCTGGCGGCTGGTATTAGATGCTATGTGTACATATGTATGTGCGGGGTGTATCGCTGAGTGTGTAAAATTCGATCATTCGCTGAGTATCTATTGGCGCGGGTCTCCAACGCCTGGTTTAGTCGTTCTCCACATCCACGTCGGGTGTGGGCTCGCGCAGTCTGCGACGCGCTCGCACCCCTTGAGTGGCAGCAACGGGTGCATCCAGATCCGGGGCTCGGCTGACACGTTTGACAGCAGCTCTGGAAGCAGCAGCGGCGGCACGTCGTGACTGCACTCGGCGTGCTGGCGGGTCACGTAGACGGGCCGCTCCAGCATCCGGGGTCGGCTCCTCCTCAGGTATCTCTTCAATCACCATTCCGCAACGCTGTGACTCGGGCTCAATATAGCTCTCGATGCCGCTCAACGAACTGGAGCGCGGCAGCCAATCCTCCAAGCCATCCATCATGTCCTGATTCCTCCCAACTGCAGACAGATCGCCTGCCGACTGTGAGTTTTGGAGGCTGCGACCCACTGTCATTTCTGTCATCGAAAAGGTCTGGCGGCGGCGGTTAGCGGATTAGTAGCAGGCAGGCAGGCAGGGCAGGGCAGGTGCAGGTGGTTGGGTGAGATTCGTTTTGATTTGGTTTTGGTGGGTTAAAATGCAAAGAAACATAAGTGTGAAAAAAAGAAACGAAATGGTTAATCAAAAAGAGGCAAACGAAAAGAGTCTTAAATTGAAATGAATTGCAGCTGAGGCACACACACTCACACACCAGCACACTCTGGGCCAGAACTGTCCCCATGGCATTCCCCACATATCTATTTTTATGCCCTACCCTAGCGGAGAGACTAGGAATGGGAATGGAAATGATGCAACGGGCAAGGGCTGTGCGATATCAAAGTGGAATATAAATCAAGTGGCGAGGAGTGCCACTGCATAAAGGAATTTTCCCATTTCTTTGTATTACTTTCGGACAAAGACCTGAACAAGGGTTTCCAGTCATACAATATGACTAATTTGGACATGACAAATCAATAAGAAATGCCCCTACTACACCCACGCAGTAATCCCATATTCTCATTTAACTTTCATTAACTCTTTTGACCTACATCAACACACAAAAATCATCTAAATAACTTTTAGTACTAACACACATTATCTTTCAGTCGAGCGTCTCGAGTCGAGTGTCTTGGCCCCCATTTCGAGTGTTTATACTGGGCTGGCCGAGATGGGTACGTATTCGTACAACTGCTCCCCTGCTCTGGTGGCATCAGTTTGTTCACTTTTTTGTTTTTATTACATTCGTTTCAACATGTTAATTTATCTGCTATCTTCTATCGGGCATCGTGTAATGCACTGCACACAAAAAGAGAACAACAAAACTAAAAACTAAATCGAAACAAACACGCAAAAGGGCACAAA